CGTATATAAACTTAAAAGGATAATTTGCTCCAATCTGCTCTTAGTCAAAATATATTAAATCATGAGAAATTATTTTCATTCGATAAATTCTATTACAAATTAAAGAAAGGGAATAATTTGAGATAGTCTAAAATCAATGAAATATGTCAACTACGGTTTTATGATGAAAACGTACTTTTTGATTGTCGAAATCGCTGGACACTGTTTTCATCAGAATCAATCGACTTTATGTTGGTATATTCACGAAATTTTCTGAAGTCAGTTATCAAACCACCTTCAGTCTTCGTAATAGTGTAAAGGAAACCGTAGAAAAAAATTGACAAAACTAATTTTTGAAACATCACAGTAGCTGTTTAACACACGTGTAAGCTCAAAAAATATATCTTATGACTTTTTAAGAACAAAATCGATTAAGTAATAAATAATCATTATTGCAGGTTAGCGGTTACCATGGATGTCCAATGTTCATATTATAATAGTATGGTCTGCATATGGTTGAAAGCAGAACGTCGTAAAATATAAAGTTGTGAATGTGTTAATTAATTTCGGAGATCTTATTCCCACAATAGTACCTATATTGATTATTGTAGTAAATAACTGATCTATTGTTCGAATACTTAAAAAACGTATAGGTAATAGGTATTTGTATTTATATTCTTTTTGAAAGACAGTATTCGAATACAAATTTCAAATATAAAGGACACCAACTTTTTAAGGCCAAATGTAAACTCCTAATACACTAGGTAATAACCTTTTAAAATTTTTACCTGAAAATCAAAGATATTGTAATCTCCTATATAGAAATTTTTCCCTTTAAACAATAGGGTAATATTACTTAAATTCACAATTTTGAAGTTGAAAACTCAAAAAGCTCAAAATTATCATAACTTGAAAATAATAAATTTGTATTATTTAATAAACAAACCCTTGAATAGAGCTTGTTTATACGCTGTATGATGATTCTCAAAGATTAGATTATTTCCATAATATATACTATATACTATACGTTCATATCGGCACTTGCAGTGCAAAATGTTTTAAATAGATCAGCGATATATGCATCGAATATTGTGGAATAAAGATAAAACATGAGAATCTCGGTTGTATCGGAAATTTCCGAACAAATTGGCGTTTATTGCCGATATCGTAGTCTGCTCGTAACTGTATAACTGTGTATTGTTTGAGTTTAGTCTAGTGAATCTTTTGCGTCTTTCACCGTTTTGTGCAGTGAAGTTAGTCACTCTTATAGTTGTACATTATTACAAATTGCAATTGAATTCATGTATAATCAGAATGGTAAAAAGTTATTAATAGTTGATAAATATAAATTTTTTTTACACTATACTGCGAAAAGTGGCAAAAAAACTTGGCGTTGTATTAATAATAAGTGTCAAAGTAAAATTTACACAAATAATACAGAGGATGAAATTATTGAAAAACATGTAGTTCTATAATTCAGAATCATGATGAATGAAGAACATGTATACATTAAAACGCCAAGAAGTCAATAATTCACTGTCAAGGAAAGTAAGTGAAGACAATATTTATAGAAAAACCTTCCAAGTTTATTTTAACTGAAATCAAACATTTTAATAACGAAAATAATTTAAATACAACTGTTCTCAATTATATTAGACGAAATGTGTATAATGCACGTAAATCTATTTTGCCACCTTTGCCTAAAAGTATTGAAGAAGTTCACGATACTTTAAATGTAATGGATATACAAACAAACTGTTTTGAACAATTTGTTTTATTAAATGATCAAGATAGCCATATTATTATATTTTCTTGTATAGAAAATTTAAAATTTCTTTGTTCTAACGAAAAATTTTTTTTAGACGGTACTTTCAATTAGGTATTGTACAAAATATTTTTTGCAGTTATTCACTATTCATGGTTTTAAGAATCAAAATGATGTACCATTAGTCTTTGCTTTGCTTCCTGACAAAAATAGCCATACATACAGTACATTATTTTTAAAAACTATCGAAATTTGCTTGCAAAATAATTTACGGTTTCAACCAGTTACAGTTGTGGTGGACTTTGAAATTGCTATTCATAATGCAATTAAAAATATTTGGCCAACAGTGCAAATTCATATGGTTGTAATTTTCATTTGTGCCAAAATTGGTATAGACAAATTCAGCAATTATAGGCCCAACGAATGATTACACTAATGATGAATCTGAAATTGGAAAATTTTTAGTTCTCACATTCAGTTTACCATTATTGCAAGATGCTAACGATATTGAAGATTGCTTTGATTTGTTAGAAAATATGCCATCTGACGATAAAGTCCAACAATATTGCTACTATTTATCTGAAAATTATATTTTTTCGTTTTCATTATTTCCTCCAAAATTGTGGTCTTCTAATGATACTACAAATACATGTGAATCATTTCATTCAAGATTTAATAATAATTTTTATCATCATCATCCAAATCTCCATTTATTCGTGAAAGTTTTGAAAGATATTTAGACCGAAACATACATTAAAATTAGAAGCAGTCATACAACACAGCGTAGACGGACAAAAACTATTTCTAAATATCAATTTATACTTAATCAAAAAGATAAATATATACGAGGAGAAATTTCACGTTTAGAGTTTATCTCCAAAGTATGCCATAAAAATATATACGTAAATGATTATGACTTAGTATTGTTTTATTGAATTTTTTATTATTTTTTTCAAAAAATTTTTTTTTAAACGTAAATGATAATGATTATTGTTTTATTAACATTTTTATTATATTTTTCAAACTATTTTTATTTTATGTGTTAATTTATTGCATGACTGATATTTTTTACAGCAATACGATATTAATTTTTTGTAGTAGTTAACAGTTAACACTATCTTTTATAGGAGATAACACTACATTTATAGGAGTTTACCATTCGGCCTTTTTAAAAACGTATTTTGAATAAACATTCGAAAAGTATTCTTAACGACATACTTGTGTGCTCTGTCTTAAAATGTTACATTTGACATATTGTATTTACAGTAGGTGCACGTTAACCTGTATTAAATTCTTATTGGAAAGTAGGTACACCAAAAAGAAGTATTTAAATAATTTTTATTTTAAATATAGATTTGCCTATTATCAATTCTAGTTTATATTTTAAAAATAAAACGTTATATCTGTTTTATCTTCTAATTTAGTTTTAGTGTAGCTTGTGTTGTTCTATTACGTGGTGAGTTCGTTCGTTATTTTGTATCATATATTTTAATAATAATAATTAAAATACGGAATCATTATGACTGATTTTGTTTTAAACTTTTAAAACAAGGGTTTAAGTAAATTTTGTTAAAATATACAATTACAAATAATAAAGGGAATAAATTGTATAAGGAATGACAGCAGTCAGCAATCGTGTAAAAAATGTGAAAGAGCAAAAATTCAGTAATAAGTCACACAGGGGTTACTCAGGAATGACGAAAAGTGACATTTGAGGTAGATGATTTCTATTTCAAATTTCAATTTATTATAGATTCCGAGAGGAGCGACGAATGCATTGATTTTCCAATGATATGTGTGTTTTTTTTGTGTGAGTAAATATGCTTCAATTTTCCACTCCAGCATCGTTTCTGGTAAGACAGTGAATCTAATTGGCACTTTAAGGTGGTTAAGGTCTTTCATGTACTTAGTACTTACTTACTCAAAAGTTTAAAAGCATATTATCATATTTTATACACACAAATACACAATGATATTTCAATGGCAATGTGCTTAGTGACGGTCATGAGCATATTAATTTAATATAAACAGGTGTTACAATTCAACAAAAAAAAAATGTTTATATTAAAATTAATCGACGCAGAACGCAGCAACTTTCATATTATAATTTAATCAATGGCGAAACCGATAAAAAAATTAAACAACAGTAAATTATTTTTTTACCTAGGTAACACTTCTTAATAGTTCACACTGTCCACAACTTTTTCCGAAGTGATTGTAAAAGTAGTTAAGTCATAAGTCATGGAAAAAAATGTGATCGTTAAGTTAGAAGTTTTTTAAAAAATAAGAGTGATGGTAGACTGGTAGCCGGTAGGTACAAAACTAAACCACTGAGCTGTGGGTGGTTGAATATTATTTTTAATGCGGAGAGACGACGCTCGCATCAGAAACGACGAATAGTGTATAACCGAAGGTAGTTAAGTTTGTATATCAATACATTTAAATATTATGTATTTATTTGTTTCTATTTGTGAATTATATTTTATACAGCTTATTGATAAATTGAACATAGTTTTTTTTAAATTTCATCCATTTTATTTGATCTAGTCTGTGCTTACACAGTTATAGGCGCTAAGCATTATATCACAATTGAGGTATTCAAAGGTGCTTATGATACAAACAACATATTTTTGGAAGGAAAATACTAAATAGGTAACTAATATAGGGTTGCCATTCGTCCCGATTTCGCCGGGACACTACCGGTTTTTACTACAGAGTCCCGATATTTTTCATTTCCCGGCCGGGACGTGGGTAAGTACCGGTTTCTTAAAGGACTATCCAAGGAAAAAATAGATAAAAGCTAAATCGTTAGTATTTGGTTTAATTAAAAATTGTCTACCGTTAAAAATATTATCCGTCACTCCGTTCGATCGTTATCGCCGTTTTAAAATGACGCGTGACGTCACTGGTTCCATTGGTCGGCGGCCCGCCTATTTCAATACACGCAAATCCTCAACGCGTCGTTAGTTATTTATTTATAAATTAACTTAAAATACTTGAAATGAAAAATGGATTTCATATTATAAAAGCATAGATATTTTCCTACAATTTGATACCAACATCCTATTGAAATAATAAATATTAAACTATTAAGGATGGAAAACATTTAATTTATCCATTATTTATACATATTTTCGTTTATTAGTAATTTACAAATATTTCACCAGCCGGTCATGTTATATATTAATATTGCACTTACTTAGTAATAGACTTGCACAGCAGTAAAATTATTGATTTTAATTCAGTCCAAAAAGGTATGGGTTCTGGAGATTTGGAAAGAAAAGCTTGCGAATCGTTTATCGATAAATTAATTGAAGAAGAAAATTGTAATATTGAACTATTTCTAACGGATCGACATAGAGGTATTCGATATTTTTTACGTACAAAATATCCTCAAATTGAACATGAATTTGATGTATGGCATTTGTCTAAGAGTTTGTCGAAAAGATTGAAAGGACTTGACAAAAAATATCCAGATGCATATTTATGGAAAACGAGCATAAATAACCATTTATGGTGGTCCTCTCAAACTTGTAATGGTGACGGATCATTACTTGTTGAAAAATTCACCTCAGTTCTTAACCACATTAGTAATATACACGAATGGGAAGATAATGGCAGAACAATAAAATATGAACACGAAAAGTTAAACGACGAAGACTTAAAAAACAAGCTTTGGATACATCCTAATAGTGAATCTTACTTTGCGTTGAAAAAAATTATTATGGCTAAAGATTTGTTAAAAGATTTACAACATGCAAAACATTTTGTACATACTGGTCGCTTGGAGTCTTACCATAACGTTCGCTTAAAATATATGCCAAAAAGAATACACCTCAAGTTTAATGGAATGTATTTACGTTCGATAATTGCCATTCTCGATCACAATTATAATGTAAATAAAACACTCGTAGGAGAGAAGTTAGTTTTTTCAAAACCAATCGGCCGTCAAAAAATCGTTACGAAAATCCATCAAACAATTGGCGACAAATTATAATTGAAAATATCAAAATGAATGCAAGAAAAAGGCAACAATTTAAATACAGAAACAAGTACAATCGATGACAATTTGCAAATTCCGACCAATATAGTTTCAATACCAAAACCAAATGTTCAATTTATTTTTAGTTTTCATAATCATCTGTTGTCGAGTAATATTCAATATTTCTTCATCCAAAATAATTTTTTCAAAGGAAGTAGTAGCACTGTAGCAGTAACACATTTTTTTGAATCCAATAATTGTTTAATGTTATGAAATTCTGAACAACACATGCATTCAAAATCGTTCAACATTTTTGCACAATTTTCACAACTACACCACTCATTTACTTCTACTTGAGTTCTTCCCTGAACAACCGGTAAACATAAGGATATAGAAAAATCTGGTTCAAATCCATCAATGTCGCCAACATTTGGCTCAAAACTATATAGTTTTAAAGACATTTTAAAACGTACAAGTACGGACGTAAAGATAATAAATGCGGAGACACAAAGTGCCTAATATGTTATAATATGTAATAAATTGTAATACTATTGGTAACAGATAACGAAATAAAACGAATTTAGTCGAAACGTAGTTTGTTGTGGTATTTAGGAAAGTCCATAATCTGAACAAATGAAAATAATATGTATAAATTATGGACAAAACAAACGTTTTCTACGTTTAATATTTATTATTTTAATAGGATGTTGATATCAGGTTGTAGGAAAATATCTAAGCTTTTATAATATAAAAACCGCTTTTCATTTTGAGTATTATAAGTTAATATATAAATAAATTACTAAAGACGCGTCGAGGAAATACGTGTATTGAAATAGGCGGGCGGCCGACCGATAGAACCTGTGACGTCACGCGTCATTTTAAAACGTCGATAAGAACCGAACGGAGCGAAGCAACGAAAAACTATTTTTATCAAAATGAATAATTGTTTTCATTCTTCAATCAATATTTCATAAAAACATTTTTTTTTAATTTTCACTTGGATAGTCCTTTAAAATAAGATTTAAACAATACACATATTAGTAAATAAGTAAGACCACTCTGTTTTAAATTAAAAATTGTGTACCTAATTAATTTTTTTAGATAATTTAAAATTATATTTATGAATAAGATAATAATAATACTATTATTACATTTTGTGCTATTTCTAATTTTAGACTTTTATTTATTATAAATTATAATATAATAGAAATATTAAATAACGTTGGACTAAAAAAAGTATTTTTAAAAATTCCAAAGAATGTGTTGTGGGGGGGGGGGGTATTATAGTGTCCTGACTTGTATTTTTGTATAAATGGTAACCCTAAACTAATAGGTCAGCACTCCATTGGTAAAAATATGTACAAAAATGTCATCCCCCTCTTCCAATCACACCACCGATATCACCAAAGTACGACACTCTACGTTGGTAACAATATGATGGTAACACGTTACCTATAAATTGAATACTGTGCATTATAATAATATATTCAATACAAGACACGATGTAATGAAAACCTGGCTGGCTAAAGGTCATACCATGGTCATAACCTTTATGAGATTTTCAAAGGTAGATTGTTATTCTATCTTATCACTTATCAGCGAACAGATAACAATAAGATGTACATTTATCTCTTCAAATCATGGTTCTGGAAAATAAAGAAATTATTGTACATTAATATTTAATAACTATAATCATCTATATATTGAACATAAAAATAATTTAAACACGTCTTATTATAGTCTATAGGAATAAGGAATTCAGGACCATCAACAAACTATACATAATATATATATATATATATATTTAAATGTTGGTAATATCTTACACTTTACCCATTACATTAACTCTTATTTATCTCTAAAAGGTAATTTAAAAAAAATGTATTTATTAACCTAAAGCTAATAGTTTAACACAAAGCTTTCAAGTATTAAGACTAAACTTTTCAAATGTTTTAATAAATATTAAATATAGACTTAATATATTTCCTATATTATATTATTATACCTTATTCCTATAGTATAGTATTTATAAATATTTACTATATTGCATTTTTTAAATATTGCACGAAACCATGATATTACAATTTAATAATATTGAACGTTTTGAAAACATTGTTATTTGTGGATATTATATTAATAATATGAGATACACCAGCTACTAGCTTCTGCATATGATAATACATTTTTTTTTGTTTACAGTTATTAACATTTAAAAAATATGTAAATAACCTGTAATCACTTATCCATACTTGATTAAAAATCATTAGCATGTAATTATGATAGATTATTTTTAACTCTTGAAATTTTAATCAGCATGTAATATGTAAATAATACCAAATCTCTTTTTCTTATAATATTCTAAATGAGATATAATTATACAACAATGATCATAGGTATAAAGTACTATTGGTTGGTTATAAATTACTATATTTTTTTAAACATCCATTCAAAGCTTTTTAATCTTGAGTAATGAAACAATATACAATTTACAGTGCTGTAAACAATTTGTATTAGATAGGTTTAACATAACTATTTATAAAGATAATTTACCTAAACAGGTTATCAAATATTAAATGTAGCTACTTAACCTCAGTAAATTACTTTAATGATGATTAATATGTGGTAGGTAAATAGTATCTCTTTACTTCCTTAAATTTAATTTTGACTATCAACAATAATTAAAATATCATTAAATAAATTTTTTTATGATTGTTTTAGGATTGTTTTTTGTTAAGTATTTTGTTTCAACATGACGTGGAAAACTATTTCCTTATGCTTGTGCATTTATGGAGTTTTAAAAGAGTTCCGTCCATCAGAATCTTATTTCATTCCATATTTACTAAGTCCACGGATGAATTTTACTGAAGAACAGGTAAGAATTATTTTATAAATATTAAAACATAAGTGAGTATCTTAAAAATATTAATATTTATTTATTGTTAATTTTAATCCACAGTTAATAATATAAAATACATTTTATGTATTAATACAATTTTAAATTAATATATTATATGAACAAAAATTTCAAAGTTATAATTAAATGTACTTTATTAATTTTTTAATACAAACAAGGTAAGTGCAAGGTAGCTATTGGGAAAACAGATTAACAAAATGCGCTCTGGTGGAATCAATTTCTAACTTCCAATTACGGATATATAGATTGTGACTGCTCCGATTTTTTTTTACTTAGTTTTGCTCAACTACCGATGCTCTGGATATAAGTCTTGCATTGTTTATTTTACTATTTTTAATAAATTAATTTTGTTATTGTAACTTTATACGCTGGTAAGTACAATTCCTTCTAATATTATCAAATAAATTTAAGTATACTTCACTTGAAGCAAAACGTATACAAAATGTGGAGGAAATACATACAAACTGAAAATAGTATCCAGACTCCAAGTATGGGGGAAATCCCCTAACCATCAGTACGACAGCGTTGCCAGTGTTAATCTGTCTCCCCAATAAGTTAATTAAAAAAAAATGATAAACCTAGAATGTTACCCTACAATTTTCAACTCTCATCAAACCATAGTCTTTAAATTTTGTTTTTATTCTGTAAGATGTATTAGAGTAACTAATTAAAGCTTGCAAATTGTTAAACAAATTACATGGACCACATTGCTTAATTATTTTTTTAAATATTTAAATATAAAATTAGATCAAGGTACTATTAATATTTAATTGTATATTTGTATGTACTAGCCACAAGAACAAGTTCAAAAACATAGGTTGGAATATTCTTTAGCATTATGTATGTATAGATGTCAACCCACTTTAAATGAAAATAAAAATGTATTTCATCATACATTTCATAATAGGCTTGTTTATTTTCTAAAAATTAAATGTAGGTATTATTTAATCTATTAATAATTCAAGATCCAAAATAAAAAATTAGGTACGTCAATAGGCATATGCCATATGGGTATTAATAATAATTAAACATTTTTTTACTCAATTTCAGGTTAATAATGAAATACTTTCTATTGGTGTTTATGCTTCAATGATATTCATGATTTTTGTTTCTTTAACAACTGACTGGCTGAGGTATAAAATTGTTATTGTTATCCAAGCATTATGCGGTGTTTGTATTTATGCACTGTTATCTTTATGTACAAGTTTTACATCTATTGTTGTAAGTAATGTTACTGTTGTTTCAAATGTAAAATAATGTATAACACATTTTATTGGTTTTATATTTAAATAACTTATTATTTTTAGGTAGTTGAAATTTTGTATGGCTTGTTTGTTGCTACAGAAGTTGCATACTACACATATACATATTCTGTTGTGAATGTAAAATATTACCAGAAAGTTACCAGTTACACAAGAGCTGCACATCTTATAGGGCGTTTCTTTTCAGGGTTTCTTTCCCAGGTGTTTATTTCAACTAAATTAGTTGATACATATCAATTAAATTTCCTCACATTAGGAAGTTAGTGTGTTTATATTCAAGATGTGGTAAAATAGAGTATTATCAATTTATATATTTTCATAATAATGCTCAGGCCTGACAGCTGCAATGATGTGGACTATAACATTACCAGCTGTAAAAAGAAGTGAGCCTAAGTCAGAAACTCAGAAAATGAATGTAATGGATAAAGCATCAGAAACAAAATTAGAAGATGAAGATGATGATTTAGCTGAAAATAGTATAAAAGTAAGTAAGAATTAAAAATTAATTATGAAATATAATAACAACATTTGTATACTAATACTCAATTTATTTTCTAATATACTTTTAGCAAAGCCAGATGTCATGGAAATATTTCAAGACCATGTGTAATGAGTATAAGAGTTTGTATATTTTGAAGTGGTCATTTTGGGTGATAACTGCAACTTGTGTTTTTAATCAAGTATAAAAAAAGTATAAATAAAAAAAAAATTATATAATATGTATATAATTCTAAAATTGTTTACTAGGTTTTGTATTATATTCAATCATTGTGGGAATCTTTGAGTAATGACGAATGCCTTCAGAGTAGTATTATTAATTGTACTAAAACTTCAGAATGGAATGGAGCTGTTGATGCTGTTTATACAATTTTAAGTATGATTAATACTAACCTAACCAATTTAACACCAAAAATATAACAAAAATGACATAACATACTTACATACACTTGGTTAATATTGATTTATTGCTATCAATTGCAAGATACTACTCTACCAACAACCTCAACCATCTGGGTACCTATTTTAGATTAGATGGGTGCTATGTCTTGGCGTATCTAATTGTTTAGGAGTATAAAAGTTAAGTAGTTACGTTCAACTGCTTATTTGTATAATATAATATGTATATGAATGGAAATAAAGCTAACATAGAAAAAACAGGAAAATACTCCCTCTGGAATTTTTACAGCTTAAAAATAGTTGCTCTTCGCCACTCAACATGAAATGTCCTAATATGTATTTGTTATGTAGGTATTAATTTCCTTCTATACGTTTCAATAAAATTTTGATACAATATAATTCGACTATAGTTTTCAAAACTAATAATAATAATTATAATAAATAATTAATTCATTTGGTTTTAGGTACATTTATTACATTTTTATGTGGTTCGATTAAATTGAATATGGATAAATATAGTAATTTACTTATTATTGTAACATCTTTTATCCAATGTGCTGCTCTTTATATATCAGTTTCGTACAACTCAATCTATGTATCATATATCAACTACATAATTTACTGCGCAATTTATCAAGGGATGATGACCATTGCCAGGTTTGATATACAATACCTAATTCATTATATTTTTAATTTTATGTTAAAAAACCAAATTATTTTATTATCTTGTAATAAAGCTCTGAAATAGCAAAGTGTGTCAATAAAGACAACCATGGATTTGTGTTTGGTGTTAATAACTTATTAGCTGCAACTTTACAATCATTAGCTACATTTTTAATGACTTTAGCTGGTTTGTCATCATCCTCTAAAATTTTGGTAAATATTCATACTCTATTCTCTAATAATTATGTTAGTAAATAATGCAATTTATTTTTACAGTTTGAATGGTATGCTGTATTTTGTTTAGTAATTGGAGTATCTTATTTATTTATATCAATTTTACAAGTCATTAAGAAGTAAGTTTTGTTAAACACATTTAATATTATGATATTAATTAGGTGATTTAATTAATCTTAGTGACTTAAGACCTAATATTTTATTAAAATATGTATATTCATTGTAAGCTCAACATGACATTTTACCATTGTAAACAACATTATAACTAATCGTTCAAATAATATTAATTTAATATTTATTACTTTTTGTGTAATTATTTGTATGTAATATGTATAATAAATAAAATTTTGTAATTTAATACAAAGGCTGTATTGATAAGTTATGAACTCATACCTATTAATAAGCAAAAATTATAAGTACATTAATATTTTGAAATAATAAATCTAAATATAAAATTATGGATTTAAAAAAAATGTAAACTATTTTAGAATACCTAAAAACTAAGTAATACCAAACCTTAAAAACTACTTAATTATTATTCATAATGTATATTATTATCTTATCAATTTGAATGCATTGATTAGGCAGTAATGTAGAATATTATAGGTGATTATAATGTTCATATAAATTGGAAGGCACCTAATAACCATAACCTAACCAAATTACTTAGTACTTAGTATTTGGTAAACAATAATTTAGTTTGTTAAATTTTGTACAGATTTAGGTTATTATAGTCAACTTATAATAATAATTAATATTAAAAGTAATTTAAAACCACACCTGTAGTTGTTAAAATTTAATTTGATGATCATAAAATAAGAAAAAAATAGATCTTTATTCAAAAGCTTTGGTTTATCAAATTTGTATAGGCTTGTATAGCATACTATATGTTGATTCATTTTAAATATAATACTTAAATTTAAAAAAAAAAATGTGTATTAAATACTGGGATGCTGGAATGAAATAACCTTTCATAGTTGATGGAACATTTTTACATATGGATATAAGTCATAAGAGTTAATACTAATAACTAGATAATAGTTAATACTAATAACTAGATAATAGTTAACTTATAAGTTTATACCAAAAAGCTCTAGTAAAAAAAAGTGTAATTTTTATTTTACTTACAACTTTAAAAAAAAGGTCTTTATGTGATTGTTCATCAAATTTGACCAAGATTTAAATAGATATAAAGTGTATAAAATTAGGATTATTTTTCCTCAAAATCTTGGGATCATCATTCATTGCATTGTGGAGGCACTAGGCAGTGAAACTGATACACTCATCAATGAAGTACTTATTTTGTTTTGCACTGCCGTATTGATTTACGTACTACCTACACTTGAAAATCCAAAAAAAAAGCTTAAAGTACCTGTTTTAAGTTAGATTCCCAAGAGTTGATAACATTACTTCAATAGTTCAGTATTTCCTTCAATCTTTGACCCTATCTAGTTAATCATTTTCAGATCAGTTTTAAGCAAATAATGGGGTATTGTAATTTGTAACTACCTATCTAGTACCCATGATAAATTAAAAGTAAAGCAATAAAAAATATAGTATTTCACACTACCATTTATCAAAATTAAATAAACTGGGCTATAAGTGAATATGACTTGATCGTCTCTCACCCGAATAAGACCATCTACAGTGATAAAATATTTGTAAATTAATATAGTATATCAAATTTTCTGTTTTTTTTTTTTTTAAGTAGCCTATTTTTAAGTACAGTTTGAGATTGGAAGCAGAAAAAAAACTCTGGCACCATTTATAGATAAATATATTTTTTTAGCGTTTCGTTATATACGTATTTATAATTTTTTTCGAACCCCTGCCTCTTCTTAGTCTAAGTTTGTATTATTTGATTTTCCTTATATTTTATACCTAGTACCTTCTTACTTCCTCTTTTAATGTCCCTTTGGTTTGGAATTTTGGATGAATGGTGAAAAGTTTTCTATGTTTTTTTCATCTTTTTTGAATTCTGATTTGTATAGTACCTTCCTATCTAAGTTTGATTGATCAAAATGTATGATGAAAAATTGATATAAAATAAAACCTCAGTATTTATAACTACAGAAAAAAGTCAAATTAAAAAAGTTGCTCACCAAGAAAAAGTCTAAAATAATAAATACAATAGTATATATATAATTATTAGAATACTGCAATTAACAGTATAATATTGTAATCACAACTCTTGCTGATGTTATGAATTACTAAATCTTTTTTTCCAATTACTGTATTAAGTAGGTATGAATTCCATTGTGTTTATGTTTACTTTATTATTAAAATAATAACTAATATAGTATAGCTAGAATATCAATCATAATTCACCAGCTCTCAATATTCTACAAAAATACAAACAATAGTGTTAATATAGTTCTATAGGAGAATAAGATGTTTGATTACAATATTATAGCACAGATTATATTAATTAATATATATTAAATATATTAATATTTTTATTTTAATATAATCTGTGATTATAGATTATAGTCCATAATAATGTTGAGTCATTGGAGATAAAAACAATTATAGCAACATAGACAAAAAATGCATATTATTTTAATTAATGATTTAATAATGTTACAATATATCTACTCAATTATAACTTAATAAATGAAATAATTTTTATTCTAAAATCTTAAAATTTTTATCTAAATGAAATGTGAATACCTAATGATATGTCATGGTTTTTATAATAAGCCAACTACAAGTTCTATAAATAAGAACGGTTTTTGCAACTAACACAATAGTTTAGGTCGCAATATAATATTATATGTCTATGGTTTAGGTATACTTATACGTGATCCACCGACAGTTGTTTCATTGTTTGATAACATACCGTTTTCGGCTCTCCACTAGACTACCCGATCCATATTCCATACTATAAGCATAGTATTGTTCTACGGTATGAAGAATATATTAAATAACACATTAATTCTTATACTATGAACTCACTGATTCATAGATTTGTATACAGACTTTTAACCTTCATAGATGAACTTTACTGACGAGCGACGACCCGAACTCCGGTGCTTCGATCGGCGATCACAGAATAATTAATTATTCTGTTTCTGTGCTTCGATAATTACTCATTCCTGAATTTCGATTTTCGGTAAACCGTAGTCAATATCGGTTAAATCATAATATTTTGGAAGGTACAATCATAGATATACACAATTATACTGAAGCGCGGCTCGATCAGCTGTTCGGGTTCTTGTTTACAAATGGGAAATATATATATATGTAGCTCACGAATTGAGATAATATACAATTGTTTGATGTATAGATTTATAGAGGTATATTATCCTAAATCGTTGTCTTACCACGGAATAGGTGAAATGTTTAATTTACACCTATTCTGCGGTCTAACTTCCTCACATATCTATAATTATAGTCTATAATTTATAGATCTGTGAACTACCTAGAATAAATTATTAATTTTTTACAATTTTACATTTTTACATAATATATTTTTGTTCTGTGGTTCTTATCTCGTGATAACCGCGAATCGTAGATAATATTTAAAAATGTATAGATAAATTACAATTATCTGACGTTATAACTTATAAATTATAATAGTGATACAAAAATTAATGACAAATTATTAAATAACAATCAAAATCGAATAGCTCATTAGCTCAATCGCTCGATGATTTAGGTAGATATTACTGTATTATTTATAATATTAAAAATATAGTTTGATCATTTGTGTGATCCCGTTTTACGTTTCATTATTGAATTGACGTGCGTAATTGAATGTGAATGTCGAGTGACCACTGTCCAGCAATATACACCTTATAACGTAAATAATTACAAACAGGTAGGTATTTATCTTGACCTCAAGTCCTCAAATGACCAGAAAAGTTGTTATTGTTCTCCCTGTGTGCAGTGATGCTATGCATTATTAGTTATAATATTAATTAAAATAAACTTAATTTTAGATCAAGCAATATTTGTCGTTAATTCTAAATGTTTTACTCTGACGTGGATGAGGACAGCATTGATGATAATAATAGTAAAAATGTTTCCGTCAAACTATACGAGTATGTACATTTTGTTAAAATCTTAGTTTTAATTGAATTCTATGTATTTAAGAAATGTATATATGTATATAATTTATGATTTGAAAATTATATAGAACTGAGTGGAAATATTTATTCAATATCACCGACACTGATGAACTACGGATCACCGCTATTAAAGCCAAATTGCGGACATCTAGATTTAGAAGTGTGTGTTGGCGTCTTTTACTGGAAATACTGCCACCAAATTCATCTGAATGGTTGACGACTATTGAAGAATATCGGTCATTGTACGAACAAATTAAATCTACACATTACAATGATCCACACACACAGGATTCTGGACCGGACGACCCACTGTCACAAGACGAGGATGTTTGTTTTTCCCAATTCATTAAAAAAAAAAAACATTCTATGGAGAGATAACCTCTGCACTTGTTGATGCTAATAATATGGGAGTTTAAATCAATATTTAGTATGAAAATACTTTTTGTTCATAGATATCATAAATTAGTTACTTAATGTTTATTAATAATATAGTTTGGTCATATTACAAATATATATAATTTTATTTGTGACATTGATTTTGTCTGTAACTTTTGCAGAGTTTGTCGTTGCATAGAATTTATACTGATTGCTAGTGTTTGTATATGCTCAAAAATTGAATTAATTGATTTATTTCAACATTGTTTATTTTAGAGTATTTGGAAACAATATTTTAAAGACATCGAATTAAAAAAAATTATTGAACAAGATGTGGTCCGAACTTCTCCAGAAGTTGAATATTTCGGAACGAAAAAAATTCGAAACATAATGATTGATATATTGTTTTGTTATTCAAGGGAACATCCTGATTTGAGCTATAGACAAGTATGTAATATTTTAATTGTGTATTTTTTTATCTTGACGTAAGTAACACCTCATTATAACTTTTATATAAATTAAAAATAATTGCTTGTTTAGATGTTGACAAATGATTATAATAATAATCAATATTTACAATAAATTGTTTATGAAATAAAAAAAATAAAGGCTTAAAATAATATATTATAAATTTTACAAAAAATATTTTTCTAAAATAAAATTATTTGTTGATGTTTTAACATTCTATTTTGAATTATAATATAAAACCACTTTTTACAATCTGCGAAGTTCTCAGTTTAAAAAAAAAATAGGTCATATAAAAATCACAATTTGAAGGCCCAAACTATGGGCTATTAGTCTATGACGTTATGAAGTATTCCCCATATACTGGAAAATATGTGAAAAAAAAAGGTAAACAAATGGGCAATTAAAATTGGGAAAAGTATAGATTTGGCAATTTAAAGTATATCATAATATTCTGATTTACATTTTAAACATTAGTTTATATGTAATATAAGAAAATATACAACAATTGTTGGTTGGTAAATAATAAACAGTAGGTTACAAATTTTTTATTTTGACAAATCTTTTTTTTGTGTCCATTTTAAAATAATATCTAATATGCAAAAATTTAAATATTAAATTGTGCTCTACAAACAAATGTAATGTATCAGAAGGTAATGATACTGACTGTATTGAATCAAAGAACAAACAAATAGAATAAATTAATTATGAAAAAGCTTGCTTGTAAGTGTTAGGTAATTTTTATCTGCGTGTGTTGATATTTGCTTCTTCAATACATTTATAATTTGGCTTTATATTTTGTAAGATCTTATTTGTGAAAGTTGCATAGGTTGATTGGAAATTGTTTTTAATGTGTTTTTCTTTGTGAGAAGACTGAACATGGTGTCACTGTGACGTGAATAATTTGTGAACTTATTATTTACACAGGTGATAGATTGTATTGTTTTTAATGTGTTTTTTTTTACCTTTTTCGTATGAACATTTTACATTTAATATTATGAATGAATCTGTAACAATTTTGTGTATATTTTGGTTTAAATCTGTGTGTGTGCTCACATCTACAATGTAGCCTAGTTTTTATTCTTAATGAACACATTTATAATTTAGTGATCAATTATAAAACAGTCTAATCATAATCTATTAGAAAGGTTGTTGGTGTACGGCGATCTACCGGTGTTATAAGAGATCTATCATAATTTACAATTTGGTGCGCTATCTGCCAACTATTATGGTCCCACACACTGGTAAAACAATAACAATAATTTGATTTTAGACTTATGTTGGTGGCATAATGAGATTTTAAAAATTTGATATTTTATTACTAAAAAATTAAATGCAAAAGTCCCTTCAGTTTGTAATTATGTAAAAAGTAGGACTAGGGACTACTATATTAACTACTATATTTACTATACTACAATTTGAATTGACTTGGATAAAACTATAAATCACAGCGACATTTTGTAGACTCACACACTAGAGCCCATTTCCAACACATTGAATATATATTGCAGATTAAACAAAAAACTTATGTTCTGTTTGAGTCCAGGCATCCGTCAAAGGATTTAATTTTTGATGATTTTTAAGCGACGAGAGCAATATTTTGTATTAGTAAAAATAATATTCTTATATAACAAGTTTACAATCTTATTTTTAAATAGGTACATTTTTGTAAATTATTTGTTTTGTTTTAAATAATATTTCATGTAAAATACTTCTTTATAAATTAATATTTACTAAAGTTTACTTTAATATTATGTGTGAGGCACTTGTATGTATTTTGAGGTATATCGCTTACATCACCAGTGAGCTATACATGTAGATTGTAACAATTATGGTAGATCACTCATGACACTGTTACTGATTATTGGTTTTTGTTTTATACTACAATTGTATTTATTATTACATTTTATTCTTTATGTAGGGTATGCATGAAATCCTAGCGCCATTATTGTTTGTTCTCCATTGTGACCATCAGGCATTACTTCATGTTTTGGAACAGTCATCTTCTGATGTTAGGTAAATTCAATTAAATTTAAAATGATTGATTTATCCCAATATTTTTGTTTTTATTAGTGATTTAATCCAGAAAATCCTTGATCCTGCATTTTTGGAAGCAGATGCATAGTAAGTACTTTATTGTTAATCCCTACACTCACTGTATTGGTTTTCTATTTTACAAAATTTGTAAAACAGTGAAGTTCTGTGTAGCAGAACCAACCTTGTATTGTTAATTTAAGTATTAGAGTGAATTGACCTACTATCAAACTCTAATTTACAAACATTATTTGTGTTTGTAGGTTGGCCTTTTTAAGAAATGTCAATTATAAATCATGCGTTTTCATATTTTAAAAATTCATAACATGAATAAAAATTGAAACATAATGAAAAGCCTACATACAAATACAGAATAGATGATGTTCTTAAATTAATGGTTGACAATAATTCAATTCACTCTAAAACTAAAGGTGATAACTCAAAGTTTGTTGGCTCTGCTGAACTTAAATTTGCTATGAAACATAGTCTGTGTTGTACATTTATAAGACTAAGACAACACATGCTGATGTCGTGTCATTTATTAATAAATTTAGTACTTAAGATGACTTAAATACTTTTTACTTTTAGTTCCATATTTAATATTATAATGGAAATAATGAAGGATTATTATAACATTAATAATTTTATCATATCTGCGCCAAAACCAACCAAGCATGTAAAGACTACTGTGAGTTTATATGAATTTGTTAAAAATTGATATCTTTGTTTTCTTGCTATTGTAATATCTAATATATGTTAATTGTTTTAGAGTTCTACATCTGATAGTGAAGTTGTCCAAAAACTTTCCAAAATACGAGACACAATGTTGACAAAACATGACCCAGAACTATATGGGCATTTATTGGATTTAGATATTTCGTTTACTACTTTTGGATTGTAAGTAGATTATTTCAGCCGTAGTAAATTCTTTTCCAGTCGAATAATGATTGTTATCATTTTTAGGCGTTGGTTGAGATTACTGTTTGGTGGAGAATTTTTATTAATAGATCTATTAGTGTTATGGGATGCTATTTTTGCCACATCACCTCAAGACTTTGCATTGGTTAATCATATTTTTGTGGCTATGTTGGTTCTTATAAGAATTCAATGTAAGTGATACAATGAATGATTTAATTTTTTTTTATCTTTATTTAAAATAATTTTTATTTTCAGTACTAAAAAGTGACGTTACCGACTGTTTAAATTATTTAATGAGATATCCTCGTGTTGATGTGATGACTGTTATTGAATATGCCTTGCATATGTTTGATCCCAAGGTAAAAATGTTATTCATTTAGTTTAATGGATTTTGTTATAATTTTATTTTATTGCAGATGTACATATTACCATCTAGTATCAGTTCTCTTAAACACGATAAGAGCGACAATATCAAATTGAATATTACAGAACACCACATAGAACGGCTAGTATTTATATTAACAACAAATAAATCAAATCGGTTTTGTATCTACAAAGTCTTAAGTTTTAAGGACTGGAAAAACTTTTTTTTAAAGTGATATCACTATTTAAAGTAATTTTAACTCTCAAGTTTAATCCAATTAATAAACTATTGGTACTATTTAATTACTATTTATATGAATCTACTAATTGGTAAAAAAAAAAATAACAGTGCTTAAATCAAATATAGATTTTTCTCTTACAATACAATAATATATATGATTTTATCAATTGTTATCATTTATGAATAAATTAAATTTACTAATGTACTTATGAATAAATTGTTTTTATTCTAGGCCATCTAAACTTGTTAGTTATGCACCAAGACCAACCAGAAATTCAGCAGATGTAATTAAAATTTAATTACAACTATTATATTTTATCAATTTTTATATTATTAATCTTATACAATTTTAGGACCTACTTGAGTTGTGTAGAATTAAATTGTCGCAGTATCATTCCATTTTAGATCCAGCCGTCCCTATTCATAATAAAGAGGCAAGACAAGCTCTAACTGGAATGCTAGAAGTAAAAAAAACATAGTTATTTAATAGTGTCTAATTAAAATATGTAAGGTATGAATTTGTGAACTATAATTATAATATTATCTTTTATACAGTTGTGTGGAATGCTTAGTTCGCGTCAAGGCATCATAGAAATGGGCAAAGATGTTGTGCGGAGTACAACAACTCCAATTGAAACACTCCTTACACCTGAAACACCAGAAGGAGGACCGTTGTTACCCCCTCCAGCTTCTGCTATCACTATGAAGGTATTTCGTAAGACAGAAAATTCTACTGACTCACAAATACAAGGAGCACCAATAAAAAATCCATTGAAACAAATGAAACGGTAAATACAATTACGCATTTGCTTAATTTATTTCGCCTATGAATTACATCTGATTAATGTTTATAAAGATTTGTAATTTCTGTGATTTTATATTTTTACTACTCATATTACATTCTCATGTTAGTAAGTTTTAAGCATATATTTTGTTGTTTTTTTTTTAAAATATATTAACTGAGTATACTTGACTGTTAAAAACATGGCATTTTGTTAAATATAAGTTATAATATGAATAGTTTTTATCTAATTATAACAATTATATAAAAATCAAAGGTTTTATATTTTTAATACCTTTTGCAGAATCTGCGAGTGTACTATAAACTTCAAACATTAATTTGATACTATTTCAAACACATATTTTAAGATCATTATAATTTGTAGTATCTACTATATAGTTGTTAATGTGTTTTATACAAATTGAAGGGAAAAATAAGAATGAGCACTATAATTAAAGAAAACAGTGTTATAATTCACAATTAACAATTGATGAAGCAGATACTTATTTTGAGTAATGTAAGTTGTAATAATTTAATAAATCATAAATAAGCATTTTAAACTATTGGTTACCTAGATTTTTATAGCTGTAAATTTTAAATTTAAATATTCTATTAAGTTCTTATTATGTTTAGTTAACCTATTGTTCAACAAAACAATTAATAAGTTCTTTAGTTTAATATTATCTTGCACAATTTAAATTAATAATATAATTTAGTTCAAATTCTCATCGTTACAGATGATATTAAACTAAGAGTATGAACTAAATTAACATTACTAAATGAAAAGCCCTTAATTTAGAATTATTAATGAATACAAAATCAACACTGATACCTAACCGTCTTAAAATTGTTTTTGAATAAACTGATTTTTCATAACATTATCAAGAATAATTATTTTAAATGTGTTGATTATAAGTATTTTTAATATATTTTTACATGTGTAAAATATTCTTGTAATTATTGTATGAAATACATTAAAATATAAAAAAGGAAAATGAGTTCAAACAAATCATATTATTGAAAAATCTAAATTAAGTGTTAAAAATAAAATAAATACGTTGTTTTAAAATATTATTTTTAATATGCTTATAAGACCCAAATACCCAAATATATATATGCAGATTTACAACACATTTACAAAAAAATTAAACAATTTTTTTTATACACAATGGTAATTTTAAATGGTAAAAAAAGATAATCATAATAATAATAATAATAATAATAATAATAATAAATTAATATAAATCATAGACTAATAAAATAATATTTTTATAGATAACAAAATAATGTATTTTCTTTGGTATTTACAATTTGTTTCATCATCAAGTTAAGAAAAATAAAATGTGGGGAAAAAATAAGATTTTGTTAGTCAGTTGTACTGAATTTTATTTATGTTTAATAATATAAAAATTATACTTGATTCTATACATAGAATAAAATTAAGCGATACACCATAATCTTAATTATAACATCATATTAATCAAAAGCTACAAAATGTGGGTTTTTGAAATATATTTTGTTAAAAATGAATGAATTTGTGCGCTGTTAAAATTAGATTATAGTGTACAGAAAACTATGATTAGTTGTATATATTCTAAATATATATATTTATATGATTTGTCCATTAAATTATTAAGTAAACAAAAAATTCTTGGGTAACACAAAAAAAAAAAAATATTAAAAAATAAATATGGTACGGTGATGAAAATCATGTAGATCACCGATACAACGGTATGATATAGAAATTACTTTATTTTTGATAGTTGATATTATGATGGTATTTTGTTTTAAGTACTAGCGTTGAAAAAAAAAAACAAAAGTATGTAGGTAATTAAAACTAATAATAAACATACATTAAAAATAAAATAATATAATAACAAAAATAAGTGTACCTTTGAATCGAGGCGATTTTAAACTTCGAACGATATAAATAAAATAGTTATCATCTATAGATTATATATTATTTTTTTTTCGAATAGCTGGGACTAGTTTTATATAATAACTGGTTCACCATTACGTTTTTTTTTTTTTAAATTGAATCTAAACATCTGCGTACACATTTATCTCTGAGTACCCTAAAGCAACGTGCAGCAAAGGGGATTTGGCTATTTCATGCGATTTACTATCAGGTCGGGTACGACCAACAGAGACTTCTGATACGGCGACTCGGCAATCTTGCCGGCCAGACGAGTTGCCTCGAGACAGTGCTTTTTGGCAAGGAACCGCGTCTGTTCGAGACCCTGTGACTTGTGCACCAGCTCGAAGGCGCGTTCTGCATCGCCCGGCTCTTGGAACCGCCGCATTATCATGGCATTCAACTCGGGGTACTGCAAGGACAAAAAGAAAATAACATTTTTATTTGTTTTAGTCATCAATTATTTTGATATTATTGTGTAATTCTATTATTTTGTTAAGTCATGGTTATGATTGTAGTGTGCCAGTGTGGTAGGTACTCTACCACCGTGTCTTGTATAGTTGTTTTATTGTGTTTATACCTTCAAAGTAAAAAAAAACATTTATATCCTTGCGCATACACATGATAATTGTATCAACGATGTCATGTCTTAATATCATAATATCAATTATCACATACATGCATAGTATATACATCGTTTTTGTGAAAATAAATGAAAAATACGTTTTAAAACGCCGTCAGATGTCTTGTGGTATGTAGGTACTACATTTTATTTCGTTCGGTTTGTTAATACGGGCGATGAATGATGACATGTTTATTTACAATTTGTAATTGTATTAATTAAATTTAAAAAAAAAGCAGCCAGAGATTAAAACTGTTATTCGTTACAACTGCAACTATTTCATAAGTACATTGTAAATAGACAGTCTTAAACGAGTGAAAATATATAATATATTTTTTGGTGTATTATCACGGTACAATTGAAGTGTTTGAAATAAAAAATGTGACTTACAACAACAAATTACTTAATTAACTAACTATATACATCCAGCAATAACGTTTATGATGTCTTCTCCAAAGATTAGGTACCAGAATTATCGGAGTTCGCAGCAAGAGTCTCCGTATGGTGACCTAAAAATCAACAGGTCGGTAAAAATAAGAACGCCCGTTTGGTATGCCTGCACTGGAGGAGATGTTAAAGTCGAAGTGCAACCCGTCGACATAAATGAGCAGCAAAATCCGCGGCAATTGGCTGCTACAACAGCGTTAATTGCACTAGCTGGTTGGATAGCGGAATACGTCAAGCGGGGAGACTTGCAGAGCGATCACGCCGACAGAAACCTCAGAGGACAACAACAATATTCCGGACTGACAAACTATACTCGCACAGTTGGAAATCGTCCAGAATACTACTGGAAAATCCACCAAAGTCGAAGAGACTCTGCGCACATACTGGCAGACTGCCACCGGCTCTTCTGCTGACCAGAAATACCATATTATGTTCTATCTCCAACGATTTGAAACGCTTGTGGAAGACGTGTTGCATACTCCGAATAAATCGATGTCTGGTGCAGCAGAGACAGACGAAATGGCCGGTACAGTGGCGACAATTTTTGTTGCAGGTGGATTGACGATGGTGAAAATGGCGACTGTAGTAGCAGCAGTAGCAGTTAAAAGAAGGGAGAAAAGCTGATAGCTAATAACGCTCGAATAAATTGAAACTCAGCTGGAAGGACAAGTGTTTTCGGACGTATCGGAGGAACTCGGAGCTATTTGTTGGCATAAAATGAAGGGGGGAAAGACACCCATCAAGCCCCTCGCGAGGCAAGTTCGATCAGATGAACGGAGAGGCACAACCACGGTTCTATCCAAGTAGATAACCATAGGCGCAACATATCCAAGTCATGGTACCTACAGGGTGTGACTCGCGGGGGACGCGAACTGTATCGCCATAACCCACTAAGGAAAATGCAGGGTGTGGTGTCCAAAACCGTGAGCAATGATCGCGTGTAAACAGTAAACCACGATACTTCGGACAATTAATGTTAATATTTAATTTTTTCTAATTTGATTTTATAATACAGTTACTCACGTTTATTCGATATCGTTGTTTAAGATATTATTATTACCTATTTTCGAACATAATAAAACGTCAGACTTTCAGCTGTTACTGCAGTTGTGGGTATTGCGCGTATGAGACTGTTTATATAATATCTACATGGTCGATTATTATTGTTTACAATAATTGTTTATTAATTGTCTATTATCTGTACATTTTAAATCTTAGGCCCTATATATATCTACACCTATAAGTTCAAATATGTTATGTGAATTGTTAGTAATATAGTACTTTAAAGTTTAAGAATTGAGGTATTTGTGTTACTATATTCAGTATCTATTATTTTATAATAAATAGTTATTTTTCAAATAATATAATATATATACATACAGTTTGGAAGTCGGAGGGAGCTAGTAAATATATTATATAACTCCTTGACAAGTTATTCTCGAGTTTATGAGATATTGGGCCAGTTTATATTTCCGTATTTTGTTATACCATACGGCATACATAATAGTAATAAATAATAAATAATAACCCTGAATCCTGATCGAAATAATTTATGGATAAGATATTATGATGTGCGTAGAAAAAGTTACTTGTTTCATGCCCTCAACTGTGGAAATCTAGCATTAGGTTTGTCATTTTTCCTATTTTATAATAGTATCTTGTTTACCGATGTAATAATAATAGGTATACTTATTTAATAGTTAGACTAGTTAAAAAGCGTTTTGCAGTGACTTTGCTAGCTTCGTTGTCACCTGTCAGTATAGTCTATGCCAGCGTTTCTTAAACTGTGTTCCGTGGAACCCCAGGGTTCCGCGGAGGTCACTTCAGGGTTCCCCGAAACTTGTGGTTTTTATTCAAAATTTTAAATTTTGGCACATAATTATAACTTTTATTGCAAACATTTCTTACATAAAATGACGCATTGAAAGTATTGAAACAATGTAGTGGTTCTAATTGTCGAGCTGTAATAATTTATTGCTGAGAGCTCAATAAAAAACAGCTAAAAAAAGTTGGGGGTCCACGGTGAAAGTGCACATAAAAAAGGGTTCCACGGATAAAAAAGTTTAAGAAACGCTGGTCTATGCTATATAGACTGCAGTTGCAATATTGTTGTGTATTATTATTCGTTTAAATGTTATAATTATTTTCTATCGCGCTATAATTTGTTGTACAGTGGTTGTGATTCATGCGACTTAATTTTGTTTAATAAATATTTAATTTCAAACGTATAAAAAAAAAATTAAATGCGGAAGATATTGCAAACGATCCGGCTTAGTCAATCACCTCGAGGTAAATAATTGTCGCAGCCCTCCCGAGAGTTATAGATCGGACGACCGCCAATGCCTACATTACATGTATACCTAAATTGATTTGAGTTGTATAATATTATAATCGTTGGGTGATAAATAAACGAATGAACGTAGACATTACAGACCTATATATATATAAATGATCATGATGTCATCGCAAAATGATCATATGACGGAGAAAAAATGTAAAAACATAACTAGGCGATTTTAAGACGTTTTAATTTGAGTTTCCTATATGAGTTCTTATTCGTTTCGCAATAACTTGAACTCTCTCTGCAGCGTCCCCTCAAACAATATGAGCCGCCCTCCATGGTAATATAAGACGTGCCGAATGTCTGCGATCGAGACGTTAGTGTAATTAGGTTAGGCGCGGTCGTCTTACTTTCGCACAATACACATACCGTGCACGGGTCGCCCCTTCCCCACGCAACCCACTGATTTGGCGGCGTCGCCGGGGCCAGGCAAATAATCGAGTCCCAAACGATTGGGTACATAATCAATTATCAACCGGTAAATCGAGTCCGAGTGAATTTTAATATACGTTATAATATATTATACTATTATATTATATTAAAAAGGTATAGGTACCTACTGTTTTTTTTTTATTACAAACCATTGGTTAAATTGAGGAGTAAATAATAATATCTATATCACATCACATGCATATAGATATAGTTCCGCGACAAAGAGGGTTAAGCGACGTTTTTCAAGGTTTTCAGGAGAGCCGGAGAACATTTTTTCGTGTATCTGATAGATTTATTCAAATTTGTTGACACTCATGAGCAATAACGATTGGGTATTTTTTTTGTAAAGTACTTACTTTTTATCGGTTAAATGATTCCGTCCAAAAATATAAGCCACGTCGCTTGACCCTAAGCTGCGTGATCCTATTGCCGTTTATTCTTTGATATTTATGATCGTCGCCGGCCATCATATTATGTAAGACGGTCAAACGTTTTTCGCGGCATAATGTAGTGCAGTCGAATAAGTTTCGGCGTCGGTATGATGGCTGAACAATAACCAACGGTTAAGTCAACCCACGCAGGTATTTTTAGACCCACACCGACCAGCAACCCTGCTAACACTTCGCGAAACCCACCCATATATCTGCTCTCAAACAGACACCGTGGGTTGCATAACGGTGGGATGAAAAAAATGCACACCCAGCCTTTGGCAGTTTAAATCAACCATCGCAAGCATATAGACATTTATGAGACAATGATTAATGATTATACCTCACCCCCACGTCCCGTTCGGTTATTACGACGCTGATCGTCCTATTTATAATTTATCTAATACTATTAATTATTACATAACCTGTGAATTCACATAATATATTATTAACATATTATACATGTTTTTGGGCTGATTTTTCTAATCGTTATTATAGGTTATTAGGTTATTTTGATTATATCGATAATTTCCTTAACGATTTCGAATAGTCTATTTCGCGCTGCAGTTGCAAATAACTGCAATCAAACTCTAACAAATAAACGAACAGAACTTTGCAGTAAAGTGATTAATATTATAAAGTGTAATAAGAATTATTTGTGCTTTATTTGTTACACTAGAACAACGGCTGCTAAATACATCACATGTATATACTTCAATATTTGTATGATTCAACGTTTTTCCGTGCAGCAACATCGAGTTTTTTTTGTGCCGACAACTTCACTTCATATTATTATGATATACAGGTATGCGGTCGTGAATCGTGATACTTGTTTGTTGCGGATTTAGCTGGCGAAGAAGAAGCGTCCGGAGAAAACTTTTTTTGTCTACATTAACCATAATATAACATGATAAAACAATGCGCCGGGCTTACATCGCCCGACCGAGGCGAATAAAACGTAAGTATAAGTAAGTACCTACTCATAGGTGGGAAAGAAAAATCGAAACGTCGTTATATACGCGAGAAAAAGTAATTAAATTAGGTACTCGGGAGATACGATCCGCCGATGACCCTTGTTAATAAATTATTACCCACCTACTTTGTATAATTGCATATATTATACATTCTAAGGCGGAGAGTACACACCACATCGCAGACATGCCTCTAATCGTAACCTGAATTTCGACAACGCAACGCGCGCATCAGGTTCGCGTCATAAAACAGCGCATAATATTATTATGTCCAACTATACCCATTCCTGTATACGTATATATTTTATATTAAAACGCGCACGCGTACCTATAATATTACAATATATTATTATATCTATATTATATACGTGTTATATTCGTCCGTAGCGAAATCCGTGAGATTATTAAACACAATTGATTGCGCTCTGCCTCGGAATTATTACATCGCGCGCAAGAAACACAACCACATACGAGTTGTAGGTACCTACAATATTATTGATGTAATAAAAGAGAAAAACATATTTTACAACCCAACCAACTGGTTTGTCGTGCAGGATGGATTACGGCCACAAATAATAATAATAATAATAATAATAATAATAATACACTGACAGGCGGGTACGCCGGTACCGACGAAATCCCATTGGTCGCAAGAAAGTGGTTATTATATTGTGTTAGGTATATTTTTGGTAAAAGAAACTTGGCACGGCTAAGGCAAAGACGGCGCGGCGATGATCGACCTCAACAGAAATAATTCCGCCGATTCGATTAAACGAATGGCAATTTTTTTTTTTATTATTTTTATTTCCGGGTCGTCCTAAATCCGCATGCTATGTGCCACGACGAAATTGCAATTCTATAGACATGTAGGCTATACGGCGCACGCAGCTGATATAGATTTAATCAATATACTTTTACGAATTTACTGTTTATTTATTAATAATACTGTAAAGTACTAAAACATTATGGTTTGTCGTTAAAAAAAAAATCACTAGAAATTATATGCAAAATATATTTTATATTACGTGTACAAGAACTAGCCAGCCAGTTTGGCGACGAGATGCCATTGACCACTAACTTGACGTGTCGCTAATACCTTGGGGATATGGAACAGCGAGCCACGTATTCGAGGACGATCAAACGATTTGATATACGTTATCGAAATAGTGAATAATAATGTGGGTATATCTTATGAACGAATTTTTGAGATTTGCATTCACATGAAATGTATATACAGTTACATTTGGTTAGATAATTGGGAAGTGAAATAAGAGACAAGCTCCATCTGCAGCTGTCTCTGTCATTATAATATGCACTTAGAAAAAAATAATCATCGGTCTAAACCTTCTTGACCGAAAATGGTCGATAATGAGTGACTCTCTCGAGAAATATACATGCCAGAATGAACAACAACCAAAAATTATATGCATACTACACGAAAAGTGTGTATAGATCGAATATTACAGTTAGAACTAAAACAATTAAATTAACCCTTGCAGACATATTTAATTCTCAGTAATATATCAAATAAATACACACTTTGGTTATTGGTCATTGCAATTAGGTTATATATCTAATAACAGATGAGGAAGGACTCGTGATATTTTTCGGGACGAAGGCGACGATCTGTCGTAATTCAATATAATATATATATGTATTATACATATATAGTACAAGGAGTGATCGGATGGTAAACTCTAAATCAATGAACCGTAATAATTATAAGGTAGTATGTTACTGTGTTTAAGTACAGGGTCGTTCAGATTTACATCATATACAATTTTAAAGACCTGCATGATGTTTAACGATGGCAATAATCGCGTGTATACAATACATCTACAAATTAGTCGATTTAAGGAATGGTAAAAAAGTAGTATAATACTGTTATGATAAAATAGACTGACGAATTAATTTTGCTTCCAATATTCTTAAATATCGTGTATCACGTTTACAAGTCGTGATTTCACGACTTGAACATTGATATGTTAGTTTATCAACTTACTATGCAGCTTGAAAGTATAGTTAATAATTACCGTATTGGAGAGCCACAATAATTATTATATTTTCATAAATTTTTAGCGTATTTTGATTTGAAGACTTACGTTTACGTATATTTGTACTTTAGTATAGGTACCTACTTACTTTTACTAAAGTTAAAAAAAAACACTGGAATATTTGTTTTCACGTTCCTTAAAAATCCAATAGGCCTATCCATTGAGTCTGGTATTTTAAAAGTTGAATGATTAATAATTGTTGTCAAGTTTCAAACAGTCTGGGTGCTTTTATTAAATTTAGTGTTATTTTAGTTAATATTATGTTTTGGTTAAAGTTTAGTAAGTATATAGGTAGTATGCATACCTTTTCGCAGGCGAACAGTACTGGAGCGGTGGCCAAGCCCAGTTTCAGATCGGCTGCCGTCGGTTTGCCCATGGCATCTTTGCTGGAAACGAAATCCAACAGGTCGTCGACCAGCTGGAACGCCAGGCCTATGTTGCGGCCGTACTCGAACGATACGTCGACCAATTGGTCGTCAGCGCCGGCTAACATAGCTTCCTGCGGAGTAAACAACGACGAAATGAATATTAATAACTGTGAAAACTATAGAAGAGAACCATTTTTTCTTCTTAGAAAGTATATATTTAATATTATCATCGAGTGGTAAAAAATCGGTGATTTTTGTTTATCCCAGTCATAACCAAAATAATGGACCAAACAAGGATTTTTTTATTTATACCGCAGCGATTTTATCTGTACAGTTCGCATATAAACGAACTCGACCCCGGTCGGTGTGTGTGTTGTACTGTATATATAGATGTAGGTTATACAGTCGTTAAGTGTATTAAGTACGTTTATATATATATACATTATACGGCACAGGCGGCTCTACGATTTTATATTATACTCAAATACACCGTGCAAAACGTGAAAATCGCTTCTCCTAGTCTCCCCGCAATAGCGCCAAGTGTTCTGAATAGAACAGTATTATTATAAGTACGCGTTCCGTTATTAGCATAGAACAATAAAATAATTTAAAAAGAAAGAAAAACAGTCACACGGAGATTTCGTAATGTAACGTTTTCATTCTTTATATAGGTACACATTTATAAAAAACAGTATTGCCGGTACCTACAATCTACATACACATTACACATCATTAAAATATATATTACATTTATACCATGTATTGTACAAATTGTGTACTTGCTCGAGACGTTTCGTCAACCAAAGTTGCAGTGCCTATTATACCTAATAATAATTATTATTATTTTGCCGGAAAAAATATTGTGTATATTATATAGTATTATGATGTTGGTACAATAGTACGTCATCGGTAGGTATACCTATATAATAATATGTAAATGTATTAATTAGGTATGTACACGCGTATATCTACTGCGGGATCGCACTCGAGGAATTCACCAGTTATAACACAATATGATAATAATTTAGGTACGTCCAGGGAATTCATATAATATAATATATAAGATAATATAAGATGTTTTAATTAATCCGCTTGGTAATTTTATACGCATATACACTATTAAAACAATGCGGCAATTAAAGGTAGGGTGTACCAGCCGCCGCACCGTTACCGTCACCGCGGTATATACGCGCAAAGTAAATTTCAATTTCTTTCGTAATGTATACTGTATCGTCTGTACGACGTAAATTTAATAATTAATAACTAACGATCAATGATAAAATCATAAATTTATTATACGCACACCATTACATACCTACGTATTGCGTTCATCATTCAATTCTGCAGGTTTTTAAATCGCCTACGTAACGCCGTATAATATTGTGTAGGTATGTACCATTACGAGTACATAAGTTTCATTATTGTATATTTCATATAAATATCGTAGAACAAGTGTTTGTTTGTTTGTTGTTTTTTTTTTACTTTTGCAGCGTCCGATGCATATTATAGTTTTACCGGACATTGTCAGGACGAGTGACTCGACAAAAACAAATTATTTCGGCCCAGTTTTTTACCGTCTGCGTGCTCTATATATTCTTTCAACGGGTCCTTGAGGTTCAGCCAGGCGTTTAAAAGAAATGAAATTTGAGACGTTCGTTAAACGCAAAAGAATATAGCGAAAATGAATACGTAATGTAATTGTTTTACTTAGCGTTTATACACACAGATCACAGATGGATATATATATATAAACGCCGATGCGAATGGGAAATAAATGGTGTGCAAAATACTTGATACGCTTAAGAGGATTTATTCAACGTCCATCCCGAATTCGGACGACACCATGGCAATTAGTTTTAGAAATAAGGCCAAGTCCGACTGGAACATTGTATATACAGATAACATAATTATTATTGTACAGGAGCTGCAGCTGTTAATTTACGAACAACATAATATAAGGATCATAAGCTAAACCGGCTTTTGGTATACAGAACGAACACTAGATAATTGGTTTTTAATAATAATAATTATACAGTCGTAAATAATAAATATATATGGTGATATTTTATAAATGTAGCACTCGATTAAAGCATATTATTACATTGGTACTTTGAAACTAATAGACTGTTATGGGCCTAGTAAAATATTTATTTATTCTTTTTTTTATATCAAATTATAGTACCTTCAATATAATATTAGGTCTGTGTAATATGCTTCGACCAATCCATAAATATGAATACAAATAAATAGTTAACTAATACTATAATTTAAAATATTACAGGAAAAAGGCGTATTTTAAGTTAAAAAATGTACATTTAAAATTTAAATACATAAATGGATTCATTGTAAGTTTAAATGATATTAACAGTTCAATTATAGTTCATAACGAATGTTCCAGACTATCAAATATGAATCTCAATTGAAAAAGATTTAAACCCTTTTTATTTGGTCCTTATTCTACAATATGCATATATAATACATAATATATAATATATTAAATAAAGTTATATCATTTTGTACTTACAGCTTTAACTGAATTGGCTATAAGGCTGGCCGTTTTTCTGTAAGTTTTCGTTAAATAGTGAGCAAATCTTTCGTTCTCAGTCTCCTTAGAGCCGAGCTGCATGAATTCTCCTTGAACCAAGTCAGTGATGATCTGTAAAGTTTTCAATTTGTGCCGTTTTTCGATACTGTATAGGATATTTTTTAAGTTTGGTTTAATATTAACATTAACAAAATTACACGTACTTGGCTAAGCGTGATTGTGACGTCATTGTGGTTGAGCCTGGCGATCATCATAGACGTTACTGCCAATATATAATCACCAGCCATGGCTACCTGAAAAATAAAAGTACATGACAGTTACAACATTTGTTAACAAATGTATAATTATTATTTTTAACATGACCACAAAAATGACCATATTATCATAATTCATGGTAATTATTAATACGTACCTATAAAAAAAACATAATATAGCCACATAATTACATTCATTATTTATTATTCTAATATATTTAATATATTTTAACACAATCGCCAGAATTTTTATTACAAATTAACAAATTATTCAATAGCAATTTATTGTTTTTGGAGGATTTGAAATATGCTCATTTTAAATTGCATTTTTATGAGCTGATTAACTTATAATTTGAATCGTATAATTATTGACCAACGATAAGACCTCCAGTTGAACAACACGTCAACTCACGTATTGTGTTGAACAACATTTATAGTTATTCTGAATAGAGATTAAAATCATGTCTTTGTAATAAAAGCAATAATTTTTATTTAATACCTAGAGTTTATTTTAAAATACTACATTCGACATTAAGTACTCGAGATAATTAACAAGTGTTCAATTCAATATTTTTGAAAATACATAATGAAGTAGATATAATTCGTCGTATAATTAAATTATCAATTATTTCTATTTTTCTATTTGTATAAAACATGATTTTAATTAATCTCTATTAAACATTTTAATATTAAATAAAACATTTTGATGGAATATGAGTTTCATATTATATTGTATAGTTCAAAAAAATTAAAATGAAGAAGATAGCAGATCGATTATTAACGTCCGATGGGTTTTAGATGTAATGTGCATCGCTATAGACAGTTAAACCTAAAATATACTTTCACTATAATAATTATAGTATTTATGGCCATTATACCTAAATTAGACGAATCAGAGGTATACTTTACTTCTTTCAAAGAGAAACTGAAAAAATAAAATAAATACGTATAATTTTCCATTGATTGATCTACGTCGCGGAGGCAGTAGGAGTTGCCTAACTTGAGCGCCCGGTTACGCCTCCGAAGTGACCGTGTCCTTATGACCCTTGGTCGAAGATAATGACACAATATGATGGTCGGACAGAAACATTGGTTTTACATATTATATATTATATATGACTGTTGAAATTATCTAAGTATACCTTATGTAAATATCTACAATATAGCCTAAAAGAAAAAATGTAAATATTTGAAATGTTATTCGTGAAACTTTCAGACATTAAATTAACGTGAGATTTCTAAGACAAGAATAAAAAACTTAAAATTAAAATTTTATTTATTTCAGTATTTTTGAAAAAAGTGTATACCACAAGAATACGTTATAAAAAACCATTACGAAATTCTTCCTGAAAATATCATGTTCTAAGGTCAATGCAGCTCAAAAATTCCTCTAAAAACCGGAATTATGTGTGACGAGAGAATGAATAAACACTCACTAAAGAAATTATCATCAGAACATTAATATCACAATAATTAATGCCTTAATTATACACCTATAGGTATGAATTTTAACGATTAATATTGTTTGTGACCGATTAGTATTACCTAAATAATAGCTATAAATTATAATATAGAATACTTCAGTACACAAATGCAAATACAATTATACGATAAACAAAATATTGGTCTAAAATGTCTAATGAAAATTTCTTTAAATTAAATATACATTATGGTGGAATTTGTTTTCGGAAGAAATTCCAAAATACCCACATTAGGAAATTGAATGTTATTTTCTACTCAATACGAAGAAAATGTACCAAGTGTCATAATAATAACATTGGTTTACGCCATAAAGCTGTACATGTTAAGTATCAATTAATTAAATATAAAACAAACAAACTTTCTCATTTAGTTTCTCCCCAAAAATGTAGTGTTAGCAAGTTACTTAGGTATTATTTAGTTGAGTAATAAATAATTTTTTTTTTTGTTTAAAGTGTGGATTTCTTATGTACATTTTAAATATGCCTATATACTTATTTAAATGAAGTGGATAATTATAAATCAACATTGTATATTTTATTGTATGTATACAACGAAAATGTTTCTAGACATTTGATTATAATGCTTACATAGTTTCAAAGAATTAGTTATGTAAATAACAACGACAAACTAATAGAAAGAACATATATTTGTTTAAAATAAGAATAATGCTGCAATACATATAAGTACCATTCTATGTCATTTATACTTAGTAAACAACGGAGTGGTTATGAAATTATCCGGTAAAATTGATTTATAATACTAGGTAAGACATAATAACAATAAATAATCAAAACACTTCAATAATTCAAAACTTTTAACTCTAGATCAATTAAAATTTTTAATACTCGATTTTAAATGCAATGTCTTTTATCGAAACATTAAATTTTGTAGTATTTTTAATTTAGAAATAAATATTTTGTTATACCATATTATACTGCAACAAATACAAATATATACAATATATACATGAAAATTGTTACACGTACAAATTATCAACTGAAAACTTTAATATAGGTATGTGTAATAGAGGTGAAATTTCAGCTTTTGTAAAGTATTTTGATTCATTTTGAAGGCGAATACTCTAATTCTGAATTCCGAAAATACTACAGACTTAAGTTTTTAACTGCAGGCTTACCGACGCTAATTTATTATAATAAAATAAAGCATAAACTATTAACGGAAGTAAGTTAAAGCTTACATTGCAATTAATGCTAAGAGACGACTCACTTCCATATTTTTTTTTGTTAGGATCTCTCTCTGTCGTATAATATACATGTAAGACGCAGTATCCTCCCCCTACCCTCAACAAACGATGCCCCTGAGTAGATACACATAGTAATTTACTACATAATTGATATGTAGTGCGGTTGTCGTCATACGATAAAATGTATAGATATTTTGTCAAAGACTCCAGGGTATGTATCCGGAATGACCTTAAATAATTATACATGTTCTGTATGTCTGTATGGGAGCGTGAGTTTCCGACGATTGTATAGTATAGGTACGTTTACTCATTAATAATTGATTCACCCGTCAAAGCTTTGAAACGTCTGACATAGATTTGTACTCATATACGTAGCCGAAAAACCTTGGATATCCAAAGCCGATATACATAATATAATAATGTTCGTTTACTTTCGCCCATCGGACATTAGGTATCGTCGTTTATAATTTCGCAAACTCGTGATATAGCTATATTGGACGGGAGAACAAATCAAAATGGAAAGAGACGCACAATTGTATTACGTAATCTCCTAAAAAAATAAATACGTTTGTATACTTTATATATATATAATATATATATATATATATGCACACATTAATCCGAATAATTTATGAGTAAAGCGTCGTTGCTTAGTCATGCCAAGCTGTATGCCAAGGTCGGATAGTTTTTCGAAAAGAAAGAAACGTAAAACGTCCGCCCGCGGGGACCAAGGGGAGGTGCGCTTAAGGAGAAAATATACACTCATCGCACGCACTATTATACAGCAGTCTGTGATGGTTGCATAATTCTGTCGGATGTGAAAAGAAACAGCATTCCAGCAGATAGCATGTATAAGGAGACGATAGTAAAGGTGTGTCTTGTAGGCAAAAGGATAGTTTACCCGACGGATGCGATGACCAATCAATAGAAGCGCAGCCTTGTGTCCGGTCAAGGACGGACGCTGGTCGGTTATACACGTGGGCATTAGAACGTTCACCTGACAACGTCCGACGGACCCGGTAAGAGGGTTGTATAGGTACTTGACAGTTTATGTGTACATAAATAATATGAAAAAATACACATTGTATTAAAAACAAATTGGGAAAAAACTGGTTAGTAGTTAAAAACTAACCAGTATCAGAAGTATTTAAAAATCATAGTAACTAAATAACTTCAAAAACGAAAGACGATTTTTTACATAGCACCTATATACACTATTATTGTTCATAGATGATTGATGTTGGTTTAAATGTTCAATAGATAATTTAATAGAAATTGCAAAGATTGTAATTTTAAAAAAATACTAGTAATATTTATTACCGTATATTATAAACCAAGAATTTAATAACTTTAAAAATAATTATCGGTTCGAAGTTTATCATTCTACTGAAACAGTTCAAGAAATATCTAAGCAATAAGTACAATAAATAATCCATTGATGACATTTATAGTTTTTTCTATAAATTAAGTGCTGACATTAATTTTAAATTTAATTAGCATCGTATTTTAGCAGTGTATTCATTATTTTCTTTCTACGGAAATTCAGGAGTAAACAATTATATTTTAACAGATACTGTCATGAGTTCAGTTCCAAAAAAACAATTTTTAAGACTATATCAATTTAACATTAAAAACAAATGCATAATACAGGACACTTTAAAGATACTTGTATATAATTATTACAAAAAAGAATTCAATAACTTATAAAGTAATAGTATTTTTAGTTACCTAAGTGTTGACTATAGTACCTATCTATGACATTGTACCATATATGGAATATGCTCAATGAACAGCCATGGGCTATTGCACTAGCAATGCATAAAGCAGTCGAATACATACTCAAACAGTACAAGACAAGTATATAATATTCAGCGACTCATTTAGCCTAAAAAGAATTCAAAACACAAAAAAACACCTTTGATATAATAAATCTCATTCAAGAAAAAAACCTATTAAGTAATAGGTACTTATTGAAAAAAAAAAATTTTCTTCTTAAGAGTACTCGGACTCAGCAATATCGGAAACAAAAAATCCGATCCTAAAGCGTACTTCAACAAATTTATGACTAGGAATAAATTTCTTTGCAAATAATTGAATACTAATGGCCTCTTCAGACGCCAGTGTATTTATTTTTTAGATCAATAAAAAAGTATATATATATAATATACACTATATAATATAAGTATAATGGTATAATATAGTATTTCATCATCGCCAAATTTCATAACATTTTAAATTGCATTACCCCAAATTATTTTTTTCTTGTCGTGAGTACTCGTGACCCAGTCAAAAACAAAACGGAAAAAGCTCAAAGACCACAAAATGATTTATGATGTTATATTATGTAGCAACG